GCTCGTGGCTCGTGAATCACGAGCTCGTGGGCCGAACCGAGCTCGCCCACGAGCAAACGAGCCGAGCAGAAGCTCGGCTCGTTTTGTAACGAGCCACGAGCTCGGCTCGTTCGGCTCGTAGGGCAACGAGCCGAGCTGCCCTACGAGCCGAGCTCGTGGGACAACGAGCCGAGTCGGCTCGGCTCGGCCCATTGCCATCACTGTTTCGAGTTCTCATGCTTCGAAGACAGAAACGAAAAATGAAATTAGTAGTGTCTAAGGTTTTTTTTCAATTTGAGGACAAAATGGTAATGGTAATACAAAAAGAACCAAAAAATAAAATTTTAAAATAAAAAAAAAATTATCAAAAATTTGGGGGATCCAGGTCCTTCCCCCCCACAGCTCCGCCAGTGCATGTGGTGTTGCTTTCCATCAACTTCTATATATATCACTGTATGTATATGCATCTCTTTGTGAGTAATTGTATTTGCCACAACTCTAATCGGCCAATGAGCAGTATGAAGAAGAATTTGAAATGGATACGAAATAGGAGTAATGTATAACGGTGGATGAATTTTGAAATTTAGAATTGGGAAAATCGAGAGCGGGCTCACTAACCTCTAAACAATTCACTATGTCGGATACATTATTCATGTTTTAGATCAATTTTATTTATTAGTCTTGATACATATGGATATATTTTTGTGTACTTGCTTGGAAATGAGATTGCGAAATAGAAAACGTGCATGCAATCTAATCACCAAAATCCAACATATACATCACAAACTTGTGATTTTTGTAGAATCAATATGCGTAAAACATCTGCTACGACGAATTCATGAATATATTTTAAGATTTGTCAAAATGTATGCTACATGGCAATGTAATGTTTCAATGTATTGTAATAAATGGAAAATGGAATGATCGATTAAACAATTCACAAGCTTAAAGAGAGAGTCTACAAATTATTAACTTACAAAAGGAAATACAAACTGAAATATTCGACAAAATTGAAACAAAGACGATGATATTGGTTCAAAACAATTGCAAAATAACATTAGGTTTGATGTACATCCAAGTCATTAGAATATCCCAACCATCTAAAATAAAAATAAGTTCGAATAATGTGAATACCAACACTTACTAAGCTTAACTTGCATTGCCTTCATTTCTTCATAAACATTCGCTACCCATCAAAATTTTCAGATGCCTCGTAAATCTTAACCAACGCTGAGAAGGTGACAACGTCAAACACACCATTTCTCAATCCTTGCACGATCATACGGACTCTTAGCCATATCAAAATTTTCAGATGCCTCGTAAATCTTCAGTGATTTAATAGTAAAGACGGGAGATTGGGGATTATTGGGGCGTGAATCGGGGATGAGTTATGAGGCGTGTTTGGTGGAATGATTTTAGTTTTTAATATATTAAATATGGGATTGTGGATATTTTCCAATTTTCATTTATATTACATATATTGCAATATATTTTGCCCAGATTTTTGTGGCAAGGTCCCTTGGGCCCAAATCAAGTTTGGCCTGCTTCTTTTAGGGTTTCCACTATAAAAATGAAAAAGCTTATACAACTCACCTTTACTCCTAACCCCTATTTGGTGTCACTAAAATTTGGATAGAAATTTGAATCAAACAATTAATTTTAATTATATATATATATGGATCTATAACTTGTATCAACATTTCAACCATATATTTATCAATTTTGTTCAAATATACTAAAAGTCTGATTTTTAGATACAGGCCTAGAATACTAGTCCTGACTGCTGAACATATTTCTCCTCCTCTCTCTTTTCATTTTTTCCCTTCTATCGTGTGGCTAAAGAATAAGAGTTGGGAGGCTGGTGAACATGAAGGCTTTGAGTTAGTTCTTCGTCCTTCTTCAATTGGCCACTGTGGGAGACGAGTTGGTGTTTTTTGAATTTGAATTTCGACTTTAGGTTTGAGTTTAAACTTTAAATAGAAATAGTAATAATAGGTCAGATAAGTCGAGTTTAAAGTTTGAAGTTTCGTTATTTTTGAATCTTGATTTTAGTTTAACTGTTTAAAAGAATTAGTTTAATTCAAATGAATGGGATCGGACCTGATCGAGTTGGTGAGTAAAACTTGAAAGTGAAATCGACATGCTTAATTTAACTATAGAACTAACTGATCCAAATAGATAATCAATCAAAACCGACCCGAGTCATTTCGAATCGATCCGTTAATCAGGTCCACACACGTGCTTACCCGTACTTTCTATCATTAAGCGAATATGCTTTCTAGTCATGAAGATTAAAATCTTATCTTTCTAAGGCTAACTATCCATTGGGCTCTAGTTAGGGCGTTTTCATAAGTGGACTCGGTACGATGGTCAATTTCTGCATTGGATGACAAAACCGTCACTGAACTAATACAAATGGGACCATACTTTATACTCACGCGTAGAGCACATTCCTTTCATTGGGTTTAAAGGGCTGTGGAGAACCACAAAATTGGGAGTTGATTTTCATCTATGCATTAAAATTTGAGCATTCTAACGTTATTTTCTTGGTGTGAATGGAAGAATATTCTTGTATGTTGAAATGTGATTATAAATTCGTTAAATATATCATGAATCACTAAAAATCTGAGCACGAACCAGCAAGCATAATTTAAATGGATCTTCTTCCTGCCCTATTATTTACGTACATTTGTCTCGTTTCTTCCATGGCATTAAACTTTCACGACCCTCGGATTTAAGATGAAAACGGGCCGAGTTGTTCAAGGTCAACACAATCCAATCTCGAATTGTGTAGTCAAGTTGTCTCG